CCCAGACGCTATACCTGGGCAGCATCAGCTTTCTTCACCACATTTGCTTATGCACCCATTTTTACTTCAGCGATCATGTCAGGAAGGTGAGCATCACAGAATGCCAGGTTATCAGAACAAAGTACACTTGTGCTGAAGGAGTCCTTGAGTAGAGGCCCAATGTTTGTCTGCTACCTTAATACTCACCATATATATGCACATAGACCTATATCCCTATCACTATATATAAGTATATTTACATACGTACATGCCTATATTTATACCTCTATAAAAGTTCTTTGCCTCCTAGTTCTTTCCTCTATTTCCTCTTACTTTCCTCCTGTCCCACTATCATGTTCAGCCTTCATTCGTCTCTTAGTAATCATTTCAGCTACATTGTACTTGATCAAACCCCACCAGGCATTCTATGTCCTCCTCACTATCAATTTTAGATCACCTGTTACCTTGTCCCTGGGTTTCTTGGCTCTCCCCTTCCTTTCCCCCACCTCCTCCTCTCCCCTGTCCTCCCAGAACCATCGGTCCCATTGTTTTCTCCTTGGGATTGTTTGTCCTGCCTATCTTATAGAGATAGACATGGGGGTGGGGGTGGGGGAAGAAGCCTATAAATATTGTAAGGTCTGTCTGTTGACCCTTATGAATATTTTCTAATAGCGTCTGATGGTGCCAAGCCCTGCCCCTGAAGTCTATTTTTGGGATTCCTCGGGGACTTCATCACCTTGCTGCTCTGCTATGCTCCCTATGTGTTTCGCCCCAGTGTGTGGGGTCAGACTGGGCACACTTTCCACGCTGTGTCTCCAGTGTTGTCCCCCGTAACACTATGGGTCAGTGAGGGGACATTGTGTCCTGTGATGGTGCCTGCTTTACGGTCCTCTCCGTGTTTTGGCTGCTCTGAGCAGAAATATCATCCTCGGGGCTTGTTGGGCCATGATCAGTTGTCTGTATGCTGATAATTTTGTTTCTGAGATTTCAGTTCTTTTCCATTGGTCTGAGTATCTGTCATTATACCAGTACCACACTGTTTTGACCACTTTGGCTGTATAACAGGTGCTAAAGTCAGGTAAAGCAAGCCCTCTGACTCTGTCCTTCTTGAGGAGTTCTCTGCTAATTCTGGGCTTCTTCCCTCTATATGAATTTGGTAGTCAGTTTTTTGAAGAAAGTTGGTATTTGGATCAGGGTACTGTTAAACTTTTATAGTGCCTTGATCTGGACTGACATCTTTACTATATTGAATTTTCTGATCCATGAGCATGGGTTATTCTACCATTTGTGGAGGTCACTCTTGATTTCTTGTAATAGTGTTCTGTAATTTTCCTCATACAAATCTTTTGTTTTTTTGGTTAGGCATATCCCTAGATATTTCAATTTATGCTTGGCTATTGTGAAGGCTACTACCTTTTTGATCTCCTCTTCCATGGTCTCATCCAATATATAGAGCAGTCCAAGAGACTTCTGTTTGTTGATCTTGTATCCTGCTACGCTGCCATAGTCCACTGTCAGTTCCACCACTCCTCTTGTGGAGATTTGGGGGTTTTCCATATATAAAATCATATCATCTGCAAATAACAATAGTTTTACCTCTTCTTTCCCCAGACAAATACCTTTGATGTCTTTCCTTTGTCTTATGTTTTTTAGCTAGGACCTCCAGTACAATGTTAAATAAAAGTGGGGACAAGGGGCATCCTTGTCTCATCCCAATATTCTTTTTTGTTTATTTTTGCCAATTTTAAATACAGCTTTATTTTCAAGGCATTACATTTTCCACTTACAGTAACAGTACTAATAAAGTACAATGTTGACTTGATGTCTTTCCCTATGCATACTGTATGTTCAAGTACTGACAATGCCCAGAAATTTAGTATAGCAGCTTTAACTCTTTACTGCTGGGTCAATGTGCTACAAATTTGGGTCCTTTAATTTTTAAATGTGGAGCAATTCTCATTATTTGGTCAATCAACCTCTTCAATGGTGGGTCCAGATGAAGCACCACCAGATGGAGGAGCTCCACCACCAGGGAAGCCTCCTGGCACCCCTCCAGGCACCCCTCCAGCACTCTGTACAGCCTGGTAGTGATGGGGTTGCAGACTTTCTCCAGCTCTTTCTGCTGCTGTTCAAATTCCTCTTTCTCTGCAGTGTGATTCTTATCAAGCCAGTTGATAATTTCATTACACTTGTCAAGAATCTTCTGTTTGTCTTCATCATTTATCTTCCTTTGCAGCTTTTTATTCTCCACAGTTGCTTTCATGTTAAATGCGTAAGATTCAAGTGAATTCTTAGAGGACATGTTGTCCCGCTGCTTCTCATCTTCAGCTTTGTACTTTTCGGCTTCCTGGACCATCCGGTCAATATCTTCTTTACTCAGACGACCCTTATCATTGGTGATGGTAATCTTGTTTTCTTTTCCAGTACTCTTATCCACAGCAGATACATTGAGAATGCCATTGGCATCAATACCAAAAGTGACTTCAATCTGAGGAACACCACGTGGTGCAGGAGGTATGCCGGTGAGCTCAAATTTCCCAAGCAGGTTGTTATCCTTGGTCATTGCACGTTCACCTTCATAAACCTGAGTGAGTACCCCAGGCTGGTGATCAGAGTAGGCTGTGAAGGTCTGTGTCTGCTTGGTGGGAATGGTAGTATTGCGCTTGATAAGAACAGTCATGACTCCACCAGCTGTTTCAACACCCAGGGAAAGTGGAGTGACATCCAAGAGCAGCAGGTCCCGAACATTTTCAGATTTGTCCCCAGATAAGGTAGCTGCCTGAACAGCTGCACCATAAGCCACAGCCTCATCAGGGTTGATGCTCTTGTTCAGTTCCTTCCCATTGAAGAAATCCTGAAGAAGTTTCTGAATCGTAGGAACACAGGTAGAACCACCCACCAGGACAGTGTCATGGATCTGTGACTTGTCAAGCTTGGCATCTCTAAGGGCTTTCTCCGCAGGGTCCAGGGTGCCTCGGACCAAGTCAGCATTTAATTCTTCAAATCGGGCCCGGGTGATAGAGGTATAGAAGTCAATGCCTTCGTATAGAGAATCAATTTCAATACTGGCCTGGGTGCTGGAAGAGAGAGTGAACTTTGCACGGTCACAAGCAGTGTGTAGGCGACGGACAGCTCTCTTATTCTCACTGATGTCTTTTTTGTGCTTGCCCTTGAACTCAGCAATAAAATTTTTGACCATTCGATTGTCAAAATCTTCTCCACCCAAGTGGGTGTCTCTAGCTGTCGATTTTACCTCAAAGATGCCATCTTCAATAGTGAGGATTGACACATCAAACGTGCCACCTCCCAAATCAAAGATCAGCACATTTCTCTCAGCACCAACCTTTTTGTCCAAGCCATAGGCAATTGCAGCAGCAGTTGGCTCATTGATGATTCTAAGTACATTGAGGCAGCAATGGTCCCTGCATCTTTGGTAGCCTGGTGCTGAGAGTCATTAAAATAGGATGGTACAGTGACAACAGCTTTGGTGACAGTCTTCCCAAGGTAGACTTCTGCAATCTCCTTCATCTTTGTCAGAACCATAGAGGAAACTTCTTCTGGATAAAAGCTTTTTGTTTCTCCCTTGTATTCTACTTGGACTTAGGGCCTGCCTGCATCATTCACCACCATGAAGGGCCAATGTTTCATATCAGACTGGACAACTGCATCATCAAATCTTCGTCCAATCAGATGTTTGGCATCAAAAACTGTGTTTGTGGGATTCATAGCAACTTGGTTCTTTGCTGCATCACCAATCGTTCTGTGTCCATAAAGGCAACATAGCTTGGGGTGGTTCGGTTGCCCTGATCATTTGCAATTACTTCCACTTTTCCATGCTGGAAAATATCCACGCAGGAGTAGATGGTGCCAAGATCAATGCCAACAGTGGGTCCCTTAGACATGAAAAAAGTAGACTATGGAGCTGCTGCTATGCTAAATACTTGTCCCATTTTTCAGTAGGATTGTTTTAGTCTTTACTCCTTTAACTACCACATCGACTGTTGATTTTTCATATATCGCTTGTATTGTATTGAGGAATTTTCCTTCCATTCCTATCTTCTCAACTGTCTTAAACAGGAATGGGCGTTGGATGTTGTCGAATGCTTTTTCTGCATCTATTGATATTAGCAGGTGATCAATGTGGCAAATAATGCTGATGGACTTTCAGATGTTGAACCACTGCATCCCTTAAATGAATCCCACTTTGTCATGGTGAATTATTCATTTTATATACTTTTGCATTCTATTGGTCAGCATTTTGTTAAGGATTTTTGCATCAATGTTCATTAGAGATATTGGTCTGTAGTTCTTGATTCTTGTGGGATCCTTGCCCGGTTTAGGTATGTTTTATTCTAGCTTCATAGAAAGAGTTCAGGAGTTTGCCATCTTTTTCTATGCTCTGGGAGATTTTGTGTAGGATTGGTGCCAGATTTTCCCTGACTGCTTGATAGAATTCTCCTGTGAAGCTATCTGGTCCAAGGGAATTTTTTGTTGGTAGTTCCTTGGTAAACTTGTCTATTTCTTCTATTGCTGTGGGTCTATTGAGATTATTGACATCCACCTGGGATACTCTAAAGAGGTAAGGTTTTCCCAAGTATTTCTAGGCCTTCATCGTACTGTGTGATTAGCCTTTTAATTTCATTAGGGTCTGTTGTAATGTCCCATGTTTCATCCCTCATCCCGGCTATTGGAATTTGTTCCTTCCTTTCTTTGGTTAGGTTTGCCAACAGTCTGTTGATTCTGCTCATCCTGTCAAAGAACCAATTTTTAGCTGCATTTAATTTTTCCATTGTTTTCTTGATTTTCCCTCTCATGTATCTCAGTCCTGATTTTTATTATTTCTTTTCTTTTGCTATTATTAGGGTTGTCCTGTTGACTGTGCTCTAATTGCTGGAGGTTTTGTGCCAGCACATCAATCGTAAGTCTCTTTTCCTTTTTCATGTGTGCATTTATTGCTAACAAACTTCCTCTGATAACTGCTTTTGCTGTGTCCCAAAGGTTGTGGTACATAGTATTCTCATTCTGGTTGGTTTCTAAAAACTTCCACTCCTTTTGCAATAGAGAGTTACTCATTCTCC